AGTTTCCCAGTTTGTTTCCTAGTGCCAGTTTGAAGTTCCTGCGGTTTGGACTGTAAAACCGAGTTGGAAATTGTTCCTCCCCATATATATGTATGGAATGGGGTTTGCAAGTGACAAGAAACTTTGTGTTCCCTTCAAGTTAGGTGAATGACGGCTTTCACACACACTTATCTCTCAGAACTGAGCATGTGTAGAGACGTTCATTCATCCAGCTCAAGGGGAACTGGTTGAAGGGGAAACACTTACTCTGGTTTCTCAGTCTGTTTCTTAGGGCTGGATTGTAGTTCCTGCAGTTTGCACTGTAAAACCGAGTTGCAGCTTGTACCTCCCCATATATATGTATGGTGTGGTGTTTGCAACTTAAAAGAAACTTTGTGTTCCCTTCAAGCTATGAAGGACGGCTTTCAAACACATATATTTCTCAGAACTGAGCATGTGGAGGGACTTTCATTCATCCAGCACAAAGCGAACGGTTTGCAGGAGAAACACTTACTCTGGATTCTCAGTCTGTTTCCTAGTGCCGGTTGAAGTTCCTGTGGTTTGCACGGTAAAACAGAGTTGGAGCTTGTACCTCGCCATAAATATGTATGGTTTGGGGTTTGTAACTAAAAAGAAACTTTGTGTTCTCTTCAAGCAAGGTGAAGGACTGCTTTCACACACACTTATCTCTCAGAACTGAGCATGTGGAGAGACGTTCGTTCATCCAGCACAAGGGGAACTGGTTGCAGGAGAAACACTTACTCTGGTTTCTCAGTCTGTTTCCTAGTGCCGATTTGAAGGTCCTGTGGTTTGCACTGTAACACCGAGTTGGAGCTTGTACCTCCCCATATATATGTATGATGTGGGGTTTGCAACTGAAAAGAAACTTTGTGTTCCCTTCAAGCTAGGTGAAGGACGGTTTTAACACACACTTATCTCTCAGAACTGAGCATGTGGAGAGACGTTCGTTCATCCAGCACAAAGGGAACGGGTTGCAGGAAAAACACATACTCTGGTTTCTCAAACTGTTTCCTAGTGCCGGTTTGAAGTTCCTGAGATTTGCACTGTAAAACCGAGTTGGAACTTGTTCCTCCCCATATATATGTATGGAATGGAGTTTGCAATTGACAAGAAACTTTGTGTTCCCTTCAAGCTAGGTGAAGGACGGCTTTCACACACATTTATCTCTCAGATATAAGAATGTGGATAGACGTTCGTTCATCCAGCTCAATGGGAACTGGTTGCAAGAGAAATACTTACTCTGGTTTCTCAGTCTGTTTCCTAGTGCCGGTTGGAAGTTCCTGCGGTTTGACTGTAAATCCGAGTTGAAGTTAGTTCCTCCACATATATATGTAAGGACTGGAGTTTGCAACAGAATAGAAACTTTGTGTTCCCTTCAAGTTAGGTGAAGGATGGCTTTAACTCACACTTATCTCTCAGAACTGAGTATGTGTAGAGACGTTCGTTCATCCAGCACAAAGGGAATGGGATACAGGTGAAACAATTAGTCTGGTTTCTCAATCTGTTTCCAAGTGCCGGCATGAAGTTCCTGCGATTTGCACTGTAAAACCGAGTTGGAGCTTGTACCTCCCCATATATATGTATGGTGTGGAGTTTGCAAATGAAAAGAAGCTTTTTGTTCCCTTCAAGCTAGGTGAAGGACGGCTTTCACACACACATATCTCTCAGAATTGAGCATGTGGATAGACGTTCGTTCATCCAGCACAAAGAGAACGGGTTGTAGGAGAAAAATTTACTCTGGATTCTCAGTCTGTTTCCTAGTGCCGGTTTGTAGTTCCTGCAGTTTGCACTGTAAAACCGAGTTGCAGCTTGTACCTCCCCATATATATGTATGGTGTGGAGTTTGCAACTGAAAGGAAACTTTGTGTTCCCTTCAAGCTATGTGAAGGACGGCTTTCAAACACATATATCTCTCAGAACTGAGCATGTGGAGAGACTTTCATTCATCCAGCACAAAGGGAACGGGTTGCAGGAGAAACACTTACTCTGGATTCTCAGTCAGTTTCCTAGTGCCGGTTTGAAGTTCCTGCGGTTTGCACTGTAAAACCGAGTTGGAGCTTGTACCTCGCCATATATATGTATGGTTTGGAGTTTGTAACTGAAAAGAAACCTTGTGTTCTCTTCAAGCAAGTTGAAGGACGGCTTTCACACACAATTATCTCTCAGAACTGAGCATGTGGAGAGACGTTCGTTCATCCAGCACAATGGGAACTGGTTGCAGGAGAAACACTTACTCTGGTTTTTCAGTCTTTTTCCTAGTGCCGGTTTGAAGTTCCTTCGGCTTGTACTGTAAAACCGAGTTGGAGCTTGTACCTCCCCATATATATGTATGGTGTGGAGTTTGTAGCTGAAAAGAAACTTTGTGTTCCCTTCATGCTAGGTGAATGACGTCATTCACACACACTTATCTCTCAGAACTGAGCATGTGGAGTGACGTTCGTTCATTCAGCACAAGGGGAACGGGTTGCAAGGGAAATACATACTCTGAATTCTCAGTCTGTTTCCTAGTGCCGGGTGGAAGTTCCTGCGGTTTGCACTGTAAAACCAAGTTGAAGCTAGTTCCTCCCCATATATATGTATGGAATGGAGTTTGCAAGTGACAAGAAACTTTGTGTTCCCTACAAGCTAGGTGAAGGACGGCTTTCACACACACTTATCTCTCAGAACTGAGC